AAACATACCTGGCAATAAAGCTCATTCTGATTCTGATTCTAATAATATAATGATAACTCATAAAAACCCCTAAAATGCCTTTCTGGGCGTCCATAGGTCTTACACACATTCAACATGCTTGTAGTTCTTTTAATTTGTGTTTGTAGTTCTTAACAGAATATGGAACCCTCCTCCAAACCGCAATGAGTTGTTGGGCAATATCAGCCACTCAAGTTGTTCCATTCCAAACGGGATAAATCTACATCTGAAGGGCATTTAATAGAAATAGTGAACTATCTGGACACTTTTAGCATACTCTTTTCAACATACTATGTTTATTTTATGAAAGTTGTCCAAGAGCCCCATGTTTGTGCAGAGCAGTTAAACTGTCCACTGTCCTTCAGAAACATCCTCCAGGTACTGAAGATTCTGTTTTCCCGAATCTTCTATATGTTCGACCCCTTTCTAACAGTAACTTTAAGATGTTTTTTAGATTAATCTTTTCACACTTTCACCCACAGTTGAGGGACTCATACATACTTATACAGCCATTACAACAGGCAAAAACATTAATTGACGCTTAAGAAGGAAACACAATTCTTTAAGAGACAGTGGGTATAAACTTTTTTAACAGGATGATCAGGGTAAATAGTACTTTGTTTTCTGGGAAATTGTGTACTGGGCCCTCGATTGTGTGTCCTGAGTGTGACAATACAGATCACAAAATCATACAGTGACTGCTGTAAAGGGGTCAGATTTTCAGAAAATGTTGGAAAAGCGAAGAATCAAAGAATGTGCAGAACCTGGAGAATTTTTCAGAAGAACAGTGGCTAGTTCAACTACTCGGGACTAACAAGGGACTCATCACAAATACAAAAATCACAAAAAACTGTCATGGATTATTCTTGCAACAGTATTAGGATAGTATTAAAGGCAGAGTGAGTGATTTCTGGTAGCCAATGTTGATATTTGAAATCACCAAAACAAACACGCCTCTACCCCAAAAGGGTCTTGCCCCTATTTTGATAGCTCCGCCCCACATATACGTATGCAACCCAGGCAACGATT